CACACGTAAAAAATGTACTGCCTAACCAATACAACAGCTAAACAAGACTAACCCAACATCTCAACTTAGCCAAATCAAAGCACATAAGATACATAAAACATATAACACTGCAAAAAAAGGAAGACACCACTGACACGAGACCTAGTGCCTACTCTGCTGCAAGAGTCATCTCCTGGAGTTGCTAGCTGAGAAGTCATGCCATTCCTACATAGCTGACTTGATAATCAAAGTCCCAGATTGCCATTTTCTCTCAAATACCCAAAGGTTCCTTGCCCGCCATAGCCACCATAAGATATAGGTAGAAAGTTGGATCCGCTCTTCATAAATGTCCTGTTTCTTCATGGAACTGATCCACCACCACCATTCTTTAAAGCTCAAGTGCTCCTCACAGACTCTGTTCCAATGGACAGGAGCTATCTTCCAGGTGTTCTGAGCTCTCTTGCAAAGGAATAAGGCATGTTCTTGAGTCTCTTCCTCTTCTCCACAGAGATGGCAAAGTTTGTCAATCTCTATACCTCTTTCTAGTTAGATTGCTGTTAACAGGCAGTATATTAGAGAAGCATCTCCAGATAAAGAGTTTTATCTTTCCCACAACTTTGAGTTGCCAGCATCTCTGTCTTGCACCTCTGTTTCTCCCAGCCATATAACTAGACTCAGCCAGATTCATTTTACAGATCCTCTCATTCATCAGCACAACATAAGTATTCCTCACAGAAAAAGATCCTTTAAACAGAAATGGGCAAAGCCAAAGATCATTAGCCCTTGGATTAAGAGACTTGATCTGTAGGATCTTCTGAGCATCAGTCTCATCAAACAATGCATTCACAATGATTTCATCCCATCTACAACCACCTGCAGACATCAAGTCTTTCACCCAGAAATCATGACCATCAATTTCACTCTAAGTTTTGGCTTACCTCCCTGTAGCCCAGGCACCCAGTTAAAATCACCAAGTCTAGTAGTGCTTCCATTTTTAATAGTAATGTTCAGATTCTTCTTCAGAATGGGGATGAGAGGCACCCAAGAATTCCACAGCCAGAAAGCACCATTAGATTTAACAGCTTCAAAGATTGATTGTTTAGGGAAGTATTTACTCTTCAAAACTCTGCTAACCAGTAACTCAGGATAAGAAATGATTCTCCACAGTTGCTTGAGAATGAGAGCAGCATTAAAAAGTCTGATATCCTGGAAACCCAACCCACCTTCTAGCTTTGGGGTAGCAAGCTTCTCCCAAGCCAACCAGTGAAGCCCTAGATTCTGAACATCTCCTTTAGCCCACCAAAATTTTTCTGATATCTTTGCACAACCCCACAGGAAGTACAAAACAAGACATAATAAAAACAGGAAGGGCATTCAAAACCGACTTGAC